GATATATGAACTGAAATTGTAGAATGGGAGAATTTCATTGCTAATCGGATTATCCTAGGCTTTGTGGTTAGAGACAGGCTAAGTCCTGAGTCTGCTTTTCTTTTCATTATACTCAGCTTCCCACCTTTTTTCTTATCTTCCCATCTGGGACATTTCATTGCTTATGAGCTGCAGACCTGACGTGTTTCATGCCAAAGCATAAACTCTTTAAGGGGGATTGGCTGTGACCTACATGGCACCCACATTCTGCAACACAGGGGATTGTTGGGTGCCTCAGGATGGGTCAGCTGGGATGTAGATAGACCACTTGAAATTACACACTGTGTTGTTTTCACCAGGATTTGCACACTTGAGTTAAAATTCTCAAATGTCAAGAAAAGCAAACCAATGTTTTGTAATGCACCGTAGTCCCCTGATTAGTCTCAAGCAGTGAATTGCAGCCACACTCACCATGAGGAGGAGGATGAATGACGGCTGATATCGACATGACATTTCAGGAAAAATATGACTAGACACCCAGACAGACAAAGGGATTATGGAAAGAGAGGAACCCTTGCACCCACTCGAGAGGTGTGTCTTAGTTTGGGGAAGAATAATTAAATTCCAAATTGAGCATGTTACTGAAAGGAGAGACAGGATAAAAAGCAACTCTGTCTTTAGACCCCTGATGAGGACATTTCTACAAAGCCTAATGTGTAAAAGGAGTTAATAGAATTCTATGCAACATAGTAAATAGCTGATTCCTATTAAAAGAAAAGTTTTCTGAGAAACCAAAACCAAAGAGTCACGCTCTCAAGTATACGCGCATGGGCTTGTGAAGAATGAGTTGTAAAGAATTAAGCAATTAAGGTTTATTTCCACTTACTTACGTGTAATAAGAAAATCAAAGCTGAGTTTAAATGGCTATGATATGGGAGAAACAGAATAGAATATGGAACACTTATTTCCTTTTTTTGTATTAAAAATTTTTTTTCAACAAACAGCTAAATGTAATACTCATCTGTGGGGTAACAAATAGTCGCTGGAATGAATGCATCTCTCTTTTGAGCTTACTATTTGGATAATAGAGTTGCCCCAAAAACCATTACCTCCAACAGATACAGTCCTATCTTACCTTGAAGTCATGGCCCTTAAGGTCTTAAATTTGTCGCTGTAAGAGTTAACCAGGAAAGTTGTAAACATCCAGATTCCCGGGCCCCACTCCTGGGGATCCAGATTGAGTAAACTGGGATTGGAGCCCAGAGATAGGAATAGTTTTGAAGTATGCTCGGAGATTTTGGTGCAGGTGGCACATGGCCTATTCTTTCAGAAACCCCTTTCCAGTGTTTCCGTTTCTTTGTTGGTTTGTTTTTGGTTTTGGTTTGGCTAAATAAAGGCTAACTTTCACTAGAAAGCAAAGCCAAGAAGTACTAAAGCTGGGGTCAGCAAACCTTTGGCTGGGGGCCAAATCTAGCCCTTCTTTTATTTTTGTAAATACTGCTTTATTGGAATGCAGCCATGCACATTTGCTTAGGTATTGTTGATGAAAAGAGTCAAAATCTGTGAAATATTTGAAGAGATTTATTCTGAGCCAAATGAGTGAGCATGGGCCATGGGAGGTCCTGAGAACAGGTGCCCAAGGTGGTCGGGTGCAGCTTGGTTTTACACATTTTAGGGAGACATGAGATTTCAATCAGGTACCTTTAAGAAATACATTGGTTGGGTTCAGAAAGGCAGGACAACTGGAAGGAGTGGGGGAGCTTCCAGGCTATAAGTAGATTTACATTTTCTGTTGACAATTGGTTGAGTTTATCTAAAGACCTGGGATCAATAGAAAGGAATTGTCTGGGTTAAGATAAAGGATTATGAAGACCAGAGTTCTTATTTGCAGAGGAAGCCTTCAGGCAGTAAGCTTTAGAGATAATAGGTTGTAAAGTGTTTCTTATGAGACCTAAGGTCTGTGTTGAGATTAATGCTGGAGAGGTATCATGAGACATGTCCTACTTCCATCCTAGCCTGAACCAGTCTCAGGTTACATTTTTAAAAGCGCCCTGGTTGACAAGAAAGTTCATTCAGACAGTTGGGGGACCTTAGAATTTTATTTTTCATTTACAGTCTGTGGCTGCTGTCACACTACAATGAGAGTTGAGTGGTTGCAAAAGAGACCACAAAACCTAAAATACTTACTATGTGACCCTTTACAGAAAGTTTGCCAACCACCTGCTAAAGGATGAACATTTACCTGATATGTTACATTTACTCCCCTTAAAACAAATAAGACCTTCACCAGGAGACTTTGATACTTTGCTTGTCTGTCGGAAGTCTGCCTCCAATAGCCACATATGATAAAATGACCTAGAATGGAACACGTTCAAAACAGAAGATTAAAGTTAAGTGGCATAAATCTTGCAGTAGACGATGTGTCTTAGGCCACTGAAATAAATGATTTATTTTATTTGCCAAAGTGTGACTTGGGGTGAAGGAGACACCTGGCCTGGCCTCATGCTGGGTTGGGTGTTCAGTGTGTACACAAAACTTGTTCTAATATCACTTTTCATTGGAAGTAGACAGGTGCAATTAAGTAACCTAGAGAAGGGGGTAAAACACAGGTCTTCATTTTTCCATTGAGAGAGAACTCTGTCCCTAATTCAGTTGGTGGGAAATGGATTTCTTGGCTTTGATAATTAAGCTGGCAAAGCAAATTTGGTTCCAACATTTTAATGAGCCAGTGTGGGTGGCCAACAAATTGCAGGTTCAGACGTAAATGTTTCAAACCTGGGTGGTTGGCTTTTAACCCTGGGGCAAATTCTGTGATTGTAAGGAAATTTTAGGCTGGTAGCCAAGTTCAAAGAATCTTTGCCAAATATTAAGAAAAATGTGAACTATTTGAGGCAATTTTAAGTTATTTGAGGACAGGATTATGTTGTTCATTGGATGTGATTGGGATGATAAATTAACATCCTTTGAATCCACTCAAATTGTATACTTGTGAACATTCATACCTGTGTTTTTGTGTCTGAACTTCATAACCTGAGGATTATCTTGAAACAGAGGGAGAAATGAGAAAGGAGAAAGTGGTCTGCTCCCCTCTTCCTGCTTTTCAGTGCCCAACTGCTGAGGTATTCAGGCCCATATAGTATCCTGGTCTTCTGTCTGGGGATAATAAAAATCTGGGTTCTTATGTAATGTAAGACCACTCTTTGGGGAAAAAAATGAGTTCAGCCCTCAGAAATGAAGGGTTAATACTCACTGAGTTTTCACTTTCATAGAGAGGCTGCATTTGAAGCAGAACCCCGCTGAGCTCTGTGAGTGAACTTTGCATCACAAAGGTAGGGCAGATTTGCAGAAGAAAGTAATAGATTTCAATTTAGGTTGCTTTTCAGCCTGAAAAATAGTCTGAATTCTATTACTGATCCTGTTAGCAGAGATAATAATGAAATGCAAAGCAAGTATGGTTTCAATGTTAAAAAAAAGAAAAAGAACAAAAACTTGTAAAAATACCACGGTGGGTTCTTGATTTATGCTTTCTCATTACTCAGTAGAACAAAATATGATTTGACATAATGTTCATTGTGTGGTTACCCTGGGGTCAGAAAACTAAGCCCTGTTACCTAATACTTCTTACATTTGCAAAAGTAATCAAGACTATGACTCGAATCGGACTGGAAAATCTACTGACTTAGAGATAGAAAGATATTAGGAGTCTCTTAGATTACTTTGTCTTATTCACCTACTGACAACTTATACAGACTTTGTAACTTTTCTGATGAAAGGGTATCCAGGTGGATAATTATGTATTTTATTCTCTTAAACAAGTTAAGAACTGGAGTTGTATTTTTTGCTATTGTGTTTTAAAAGTCTATATGTTGTGGCTGTTAAAAAGCATTATTTTGTGTATGTATCACTAATAACTTATGTTAGCAAATAATGAGTATGACCATCAAGATCAGTAACACTGTCTTCTTTCATTGTACCAAATATAATGTAGCCTGCCTGGAATCTTTTTGTGTACGAAAAAGAAAAAAATAGCATCTTCCATTGGAAGTTCTGGTTAAGAGTAGCCTTATTATCTATACCTCCTTCCACTAAACTCTGCTTCTGATTTCCTAACTCTTCTGGGGTTTATACCCTTCAGCTTTTTCCAGGAGCTGCTATTTCTTTCTAGAATGCTCTGAAGGCCCATCTGTGCCCATGGGGGACTCTCCCTCTGGGTGCCAGCTTAGTCTCAGGTTGTTCACATTGTATCATCTGTGTTCCCCTGTTCCTCTAGGTAGCTAAAGGTTGGGTCTGGCTCCTTTGTGTTGCGGAGCCTGGTATGCAGTAAGTGCTTAGTGACAACCATTTGAAGATACCGACATACTAAAATCCTCTAATCTTTTTCCTTTAAATATACTTATTCAGAAATAATTGCAAACTTATGGAAAAATTGCAAGAACATAACAAAAAATTCCCATATGCCCTCACTCAGATGCCACAAAACTCAAGGTAATCATACTTGTTTTCTCTCTCTCAAGACACGTGTATGTGTGCATATACATACATTCTCTTTCTGTATATAATTACTATTTAATTTTCTGAACTATATGAGAGTTGGTTGTAGATACAGTGCCTCATTTACCTCTAAAACTTATTTTCCCTCTAAAAATCTGTTTTCTAAAAGGTTCAGGATTCTCTTTTACCTAACCACAGAACAACAGGATATTAACCTAGATATAACTCTACTATTGAATGCATAAACCCCATTAAAAATTCATTGATTATCCCAGGCCGGGCGAGGTGGCTCACGCCTGTAATCCCAGCACTTTGGGAGGCCGAGGTGGGTGGATCACGAGGTCAGGAGATCGAGACTATCCTGGCTAACACAGTGAAACCACATTTCTACTAAAAACACACACACAAAAATTAGCCAGGCGTGGTGGAGGCACCTGTAGTCCCAGCTACTAGGGAGGCTGAGGCAGGAGAATGGCGTGAACGTGGGAGGCGGAGCTTGCAGTGAGCTGAGATTGCGCCACTGCACTCCAGCCTGGGCGACAGAGCGAGGCTCTCTCTCAAAAAAAAAAACAAAAAACAAAAAAACTTCATTGAGTATCCCAGTAATGTCTTGTATAGATCCACAATCTGATCCAGAATCATGTATTACATATAATTGTCATGTAGTATATATATTTTTTAAGTCTAAGCCAATAATGTTGCAGAATTACCTTGTCTCTTAATTTGGTAGTGTTGAATGTTTCCTCATAGTTAGATGCAAATTATGCTGTCTTTTTTGTAGAAATAAATAATGCAGAAGGGAGGCTGAGTTCTCAGTGCATCATGTTAGCAAGTACACGAGGCTAACTTGTCTTATCACTGGTGATATTAACTTTCATCACTTCAATAAAATGGCATCTGCCAAGTTTCTACATTATAAATTCAAGTAACAAGTATTTTGTGCTTAGTAACTAACAGGTAGTTAATAAATATTTTATAAGGAGCCACTAAAAACTATGTAAATATTCTGTTCTTTATTAGAATTTTATCTACTCATTTTAGCATCCATTGATGATTCTCGTCAGAATCCATTATTACCAAATGGATGCTGTTATTACCAAATTGCTGCCAAATAGTGATTTTCTACCTTCTCATTCTTTGTAGATTTATAAGTTGGTATTCTGCTGTGAAGTAGAAGTTTTTCTCCCCCGTTTACATATTACTCATTCATTTATCCTTACCAGTGTAGATTCATGGCATCTTACTTGATTTAATGGTCTATAATCCATTACTATCCGCATTTATTTTGATGCTCATGTTTTCCCAGATTTGGCCAGTGGGAATCTCATCAACTTGTGTCTTGTGTTCTTTCTACATGTCCATGTCATCCCTTACTTTATGATACAACAGGATGTTTCAGACTCACCTTTTATGTTCCCTGCACTGTAATCAGCTATTTCTTTAAGGCTGTCTGGTTCTTTTTCGTAGAGAATAGTGTTTATTAACCAAGATCTGGGTGCCAGGTTTGCACATTGCTACTGGAAGGTCGCTGCTTCTAGGAATTAGGGAACAGAAATAGAAAAATATTTTAACGTATACACTTGCACACTCATGTCTATATCAATTTCTAGATGTCTGTCTATCCTTGAAAAATCTTATGCTTACATTGGTACTCCAATTCTAATCTAACACTCTAGGTTTATTCTAGTCTTTCCTCTTTCCATATTTGTAACTCCCTCTTTGAGAAGAAATGGACCTCTGTTATTGTCAATATACTTACTTTTTGCTTAAGCCTCAGTGTACACCCAATTCTCACACTTATGGGCTGCCTCCTTGGCTCTGATGCACTGACCCTGACCCTACTTGAAAAAAAAGATGTAATAATTCTTAATTGGCAAGATAGATGAAACTGAAGTAAGGAGAGAAAGAGACTGAATGTATAGAAAGAGAACTGAGAGAGAGAGAATATAGTATTCTGCATAGTCTGTAAAACCAAGCCCCATGCATTGTCTCAAGGCAGCTTTTTGACTTCTACAGCCTCAGTAACCATAAGGTATGAAATATCTCTGTCGGGGAATATGAGTAATTTGCCATTTCTTCAATGATACAAACAAACCTGATTTCCCTTATTTTGGGAGGGGGTTTGTGATCTCCAATGTGAAGCATCGTTAATAAGGATAAAACATTACTTTTGCATCAAAAGCAAATATTTTAGTGGAAGAACTTGAAAAGGCAAACTATATATATTATGGATAGTGCAAACATTTGTGTGTGTGTGTAAACAATAAATAAGATTTTAATTGTTTTTATTAATAAACAAATTAAATAACCTAACCAGTAAAAAGTGCTAATAGAGCTGATGTAATGTATTTCCAGCTCTTACTTACCTGGCTCTTAAATGACTCGGGTGTGTTTGTATTTGTGGGTGAGTGAGTATATGTGCACATGTGGACACACACGGAGAGTGGTGTGTTTCCCCACATCTGTCTTCACCACCAGAGAGGTAGAGATAATTTCCTTTAGTTTTAGAAGAGGGGGTTGGCAGAGACTATTCTTTTAGTTGAAAAATGTAAAATATCACGTGAAATGTTGATTTTTGGAGTACTTTTCTTGCATAACTACATGCCTTTTCAGACTACGTAAAGGTTAATGACAAAATCTGAAAGAATGATTTAGAAAGATTTTTATCTTAATAAAGCAGACTAGAAAGAAAGGAAGTTTATCATTGACATTATAAAAGTTACCTTTGGGAAAACAGTTACCTATAAATTAATCTGCGGCCCTTTGCTCTAAGAATACCTTTTATATCTCCAGCTAGCATCAGATCTTCTTGAAATCAATAGTAATCTGATTGCCTCCAGAGAACAGTTGCCCTCCTGTGTTTTAAGCCACAGAGGAACTGTGCATTTTTGTGATAAGCATAACTTAGAGGAGGATTATATTTTCTTTCTTAATCTATTACCTACCGGTGCTGCCTTATCCTGTTACTCACATTTCCTTTTCATCATTAAGTTGGTAGCACAGAAAAAGAAATGTGATATTAGGATTGGTAGCAGTGGACCTTAATTTGGAAGGGTAGGAAATAATAGCTTTCTTAAACCTTACCTCATACGTTAGAAAGATTAGCCCCTGTGTTTAGGGTATCAGTTAACATTGCTCTCTGGTGGATTTTATCTTGTGTTCTGTAGACTAAGAAGAGATTGTTACAGAATTTTAGATGCAGAATGAATGAAAGGAGAAAAATCACCTTCAGTTGATGATGCAGGATATTTGATGTTATTCCTCCTCCAGGTAGACTTCTAGTCTTCCACTATTTGAAAGCAATTTTCGTGTCACTCATAAATAATCAAGAAACGGAATTCATGTTAGGTTTAAAGAAAGGACTTAGAAATCTGAGCATGGCTTTGACTGATAATAAGGAGATAACAGAAAAAGCTGAAATAGAGGAAGGAAATGAGAGTGGAGGACTAATAATAGCAGGAAAATTTGAAGATACACTTAATGTTCTGAGAATTTTTCCACTACAACTCAACTCTTAGGCTTGTTAGGAGCATCTGAGTATATTTAACTTCATGAACTTCAACTCATATAAGTTCAAGTTATGTTGAAGAAGCATGCTCAGATGGTCTGGAGAAGCTAGATGTTGAGGGTTGAATCACAGGAATGTGTTGGATAACCCTGGTGTTATCTAGCTTTGAAAAGAAGATGATTCAGGCCAAGATCTGTGTCCCAGTCACTAGGTGATTGTGCAGTACAGGTACAGTAAGAGATATTTCCTTGGCCTCCTGCTCAACAAGCTCAGAGCCAATATACACTACTTGGTCAGCAAAACAAGAGTCTTCTTTGAAGACTTAGACTGTGCAGTATAAGAAACTGCCTGCTGTTGGAGAGCTTTGGAGATCCACCTCTGTGAGGGGTGGATACCATTCTGACACATCCAGTCACCATCATCAGTAGAGATCACTGATACATTAAAGAGGTGTGAGCTACTGGGAGATAGTTTTTGCTAGGAGGTATACTCATTATTTATTTTCACTCCCGCTGAGTCAAATTCGATGGGGATAGATGGTATTTTCTTAGTACAGAATCCGGTCAGTAGAGTTCCCTGGGTCACTTGAATCATGGTTACCTGTGGTGTGGTATGGGGGTGGGGGGAAGGTGACACATCCCCTTTCTAGACTTGTGAGACAGGCAGTGGACACCGAAAGTGGGAGGATGTGGGTTGGCAGTCTGACTAATATGTCCCCTGATGGTAGGCCAGCACATTCTGTTATTTCAGTTGGAGCCTGAAGTTATTTTGCTGGGCAGGCTGTATTTAAATTGCTTGTTTGGCTTCAGTAGTGGCAAAGATAGGAACACAGGTCCTTGGTGCATCCCCTTTGGAGGAGCACATTGTTAATTAAACAGTAGGTGCCTACTTACCCAAAGAGCATTGAAATTAGATACAAAACATTTTTAAGCCTAGGACTTGAGCCATGTAGGCACTTAAAGAGAAGTCTAAACCTTGGCATAGCTGGCAAATACTTTATGGCTTATTATCTTTACTTTCCTGAGTCTCAAGCACCTCCTGGAGTTCACAGGCCATCTGAAATTGCCCAGGAAGGAGTCCTGGTGATGCGTTATGGGACCATCCATCTTTCCACGAATCTGCTGGTATACACATCTCAAGAGAGCAAGATATTGGTGTAACATTGCCATGAGCTCAGCAGAAGCTGACTCAGCTGCCTTTATGCCCAAAGGAAGAGTTCTTAGCCTAATAGATGCCGTTTTCTTAATTTTGAAATTATTCTAGTTTGTTAAAAAAAAAACACAAAAACCAACAACAAAAAAACCGAATTGTGAATTAGAGTGTACTCTGTATTCATTAAAAGAAAACCTTGACTTGATATTTAGATGAACATATGTGGTTTACTAAAACAGATGGTAGAGAATTTTTACCCTCAAGCATGTATTTTTAACAGTGTGTTTTTGTTTTTATGACTTTTTGAAGTGATTGGATTAAGGAGAGTAAGAAATTCTTCCTATAACAATCTATTTTCATTTGTTCTTTTTGGAGAAAAAAAGCTTTTTCATAGAGGTTGTCAAGTGTTGCCATATGTTTAAGAATGAATTTGAACCATTCACTTTCTGAATTTTAATCCCTTCTGAGTTATACGTAATTTGACAGAAGTCAACATATTTGACTTCTGTCAAATATATATGTTTGTCAAATATATGTCAAGATATATGACATCTGTCAAATTACATATTTGTTCAACTTAGGTCTGGTGGTGGATGCTCCTAAATACTTTGTTAGTCTTATTATTTATTTATTTATTTATTTATTTATTTATTTACAAAGAACATTATAATTGTGCTCTTTCACTGGTTTTTATTTTAATACTTGACTTGAGGTCAAGAATTATATGTAGAAAGCGCACAGACAGAGCAAAATCATAAGTTAATAATGCCATTATGTTACTGGAAAAATTAAGCATGCAGAGCTAGTTATAGCAATATAATATTTTGGGAAAATATTTAAATTATCATATGCTTCTTAAGTTTTAGAAAGTATGTTTCATTCGCTAAAGACAAGCAGATAATGTGCTATTAAGAGCACAGACTCTGGAACCAGATTGCCTGGGTTAAAATTCTTGGCTCTCACTTTCTAGATTTATATCCTTGGCAGGTTACTTGGCACCACTTGGTTTCACTTTTCTCACCTGTAAAATGGAGAGAGGACTAAATGAATTTATGCACATAAAACACTTGGAGCAATTCCTGACCCATAGTAAGTAAATAAAAGTATTTGCAATGATGATGATGATTGTTTATTATTATTATTAAACTTTACAGCAAAAGTATTCATTAAGTAATCATTACTGACCACCTACTAAGCATCAGCCACTTTTCAAGTCTTAACGAATCATTAAATTAATCAGATCAACATTAGAAACAATTTAATGTTACAATAACATTTATAACCAGTAGTATATTGCGGTTAACTTTTCCTTAGTGCTCCATTTGAATAAGTCAGCTGAAAACAGATTTGCCTCTTCCTTAAAAATTAGAAAGCAGATGCTATTTATTTGGGAGGGAATAAGCAGGAATTACTCAAAATATATATAACCTACCAAAACCACAATGGCACCAGTTCCTTGGGATAAGAAGTGAAAAATTCATTTAAGAAGAGATGTGCCCCAGATCTAGGTGAGGGTACCCAGGGACAAAGTGGACATTTCAAGTTAAGCCCTGGGATGGATGGATGGATGGACGGATGGATGGATGGATGGATGGATGGATGGATTTTAGTTATCTTTAAGATTAACCATGTTTCACATTGCTAGAGGAAAGAGGTCTTAACGTACATCTTTATATGGGCGAGCACCTCTGCACCTGGGTCCACTGTAACCATGCATATGGTTTTGGCCTTGCTTTTCCCACACAGCCATGTGAGCAGGGACCCTGTGTGCTAATGATCATCTCTAGGCCCAAGTTCCCTATCTGGAAAATGCAGATATCTTCAGCTACGTGTGAGCATCATTGTGAAGTGGGTAGAACACATGGGCTAATTATATATTGTGTGAGATTCCAGACACAAGGATTAAGTGTTCTCTGTGCTGTTCAGTCTGCTTCCAAAATCCAGCCCGAATCCACCCCACTCTCACCATCTCTATCTGCCCTTTTGAGGTCATCACTTCTCTGCTGGACTCTGCAACAGCCTCTCCCTGTGACCACTGTGTTCCCCTGGTCCTTACTCCTTCTTTTTACCCTTGGTTTGTTTGGAATGGTTGGGGGCTAATTTTTATACATTCAGAAACACTTGTTTTAAGACTTTGTTCTTTGTATTCCTCTTCTTTCTGATAGTTACTCATAGCTTCAATCTCAAAACACAAAACAATTTTACCACACCTATCATTGTGTATGTCTCTACTTGCTTTGGACTGACCTAAGGAATATTATTTTGGAAGGTGTTTTAAAAAATAATTTCATAGTTTGTGACTTGAAGTGCAAGAACATCCTGGCGTTAGTAGCATGGGGAAAGACTTATATATCACTCTGTTAACATTTAAAAACCAGGCACTACACTTAAAAGATGGATGATGAATGCCACAGAAAGCCTACAACTCCTGAAGCCTCTTGTCCATGAGACTGGGTGAGTGAAAAACAGCAAAACCTGAGATCTGTGATTTTTAAGGTAATTGGAGAAACCAATACTTCCCTAAAATAGTTCCCTTAATAGAGTGACTTACTGAATTGCTCAAAGGTCAGACATAAGGAGGTGCTTTGTAGAATTTGCTGGAAACTGAACCACACCCACCAATTTCTTGCCAACTTTTGGCAAGTGGGCCAGATTTTGTCTGGCAACATGATGCATGCATTCAAAAATTGTATTTTCCATTATCCTTTCGTTTCTACATTTATAGTATAATTAGTTTAGAGCACAAAAGAGATATGGCAATTAATATGGGAAGTGATAGACCCAACACGTATTCTATGTAATTCTATCCCCACAAAGATGACTGGACTGAGCAGCAGTCCCAGGGTCTTGCTGCATCGTATCCTTTCGGGAGCACTCACCCATAATGTGTTGGGTGCCGCGATGCATTGAAAATGTGACCACTGCCCTTGATCATAGAAATATGGAATCTTAGTGCTAGATGAGACCTTAGAGTCCAGTGGGTTTTTGGATTAGAAACTAGGAAGAGCATTACTTGGGGACTGTCAAGTAAAAACATTTTTAAAAATTCTACCATCAAGAAATTATGCTAAGTGAAATGAGCAAGATGCAAAAAGACACATATTTTATAATTCCACTCATTTGAAGTACCTAGAGTAGTCAGTCTAGGTACTTCTGAAGTACCTAGAGAAGTACCTAGATTCATAGGAGCAAAAGTAGAATGGTGGTTGCCAGAGACAGGGGAGAGGAGGAAATGGGGAGTTATTGTGTAAAGTGTAGAGTTTCAGTTTGGGCTAATGAGAAAGTTCTGGAGATGGATAGTGGTGATGATTGCACAACATGGTGAATGTATTTAATGCCGCTGAACTGTCCACTTAAAAATCGTAAATTTTATATGTATTTTACCACAGTAAAATTCTGCTTTCATCACCGCTGCATAAAAGAAAGGAAATTTTTACATTGAAAAGAAAGGAAAATTAAAAGAAAGATGAAAGAAAAAGAAAGAAAAGAGGGAGGGTGGTAGGAATCAATCTGGAAGGAAACTCCTTTAAAATGATGATAACTTTAGGAAGCAGATGAGCGCATTGCCCTTTGTGCCCTTTGCTTTCTCTCTTCTCACAGACTGGACCAGCGTCGACTGGTTTGTAGCCACATACCAGCATCTAGAAGCTACTGTCACTGCGGTACAGTTCTCTCGTTTTGCAGATGAAAAAATTCAGGTGCAGAAAGAGGAAGTGTCTTTTCCACAGCCACGGGGTGGATGTGTGACTGGGACAGTCATTTCATGACTCACAGACGAGTATTCTTTTTACTTTATTATTATAGGAAATTTGCCTTATAGTTTAGTTTTGTTTTATTAAGTCTTTATTGCTATTGGCTTCAGATTTAGCTATCATTTATAGAATCCCTTCTGAGTGCCATTTATTGTGAGTATTTTCTATTTTCACTTAGCAGACATTTATATAGTGCTTATTGGAAACAAGACACTGTGCTAAGTGCCTGACAAATAAGTCATATAATCCTATGATAACCCTCGGAGATGAGAACAATTGCTATCCCCCATTTTAAAAACAAGGAAAACTAGCCGGGCCCGGTGGCTCAAGCCTGTAATCCCAGCACTTTGGGAGGCCGAGACGGGCGGATCACGAGGTCAAGAGATCGAGACCATCCTGGCTAACATGGTGTTAGTTAGTATTTAGTCTCTACTAAAATCCAAAAAAAAAATTTGCCGGGCGTGGTAGCGGGCGCCTATAGTTCCAGCTACTCGGGAGTCTGAGGCAGGAGAATGGCGTGAACCCGGGAGGCGGAGCTTGCAGTGAGCCGAGATGGCGCCACTGCACTCTAGCCTGGGCGACACAGCAAGACTCTGTCTCAAAAAAAATAAATAAATAAAATAAGGACAACTAGCTGAGTATGGTGGCTTATGCATGTGGTCCCAGCTACTCGGCAGGCTGAGGCAAGAAGATTGCTTGATTCAAGGAGTTTAAGGCTGCAGAGAGCTATGATTGTGCCACTGCATTCCAGCCTGCACAGAGTACAACTCTGTCTCTTAAAAAAAAAATAAAAAAAGAAAGTAGGTGGAGTGGAACTGAGACCCAGATTGCTTAAATACTTTCCCGAAGTCATAGGACTAGTAAGTGGTGGATTCCAATTCAGTTTTAACTCATTGCAGTTAAACTCATTTACCTGCCCTGATGATAAGCAGTGGGTCTAATACTTGTAAATACATTTGGTAGAATATTAATTGACTTTATTTATTTATTTGAGACAGAATCTGGCTCTATTGCCCAGGCTGGAGTGCAGTGGTGCAATCTCAGCTCATTGCAGCCTCCACCTCCTGGATTCAAGCAATTCTCCTGCCTCAACATCCCAAGTAGCTGGTATTGCAGGCATGCACCACCATGCCCAGCAAATTTTTGTATTTTCAGTAGAGACAGGGTTTCGCCATGTTGGTCAGGCAGGTCTTGAACTCCTGACCTCAGGTGATCTGCCCGCCTCCGCCTCCCAAAAGAATCTTAATTTACTTTAGACCAAACACCGTAAATGTATTCTTCCTGACTCTGAGATGTATCTGAGGATATTGTGAGATCTTTATTGAAATTATCCAAAATGGGATGCCAAGTTTTGGTTTGCATATTTTTTTTAATCCTTAAAAAAACTATCAACTGAACATCTTGCTTATGGGTATAATTTACATGTCTTAGTACGAAGCCCTTAGGATCTGAGTACAGCACAAGTGTAATTTAAAGGTGTAGCTGAGAGAGACCTAAAACTGATCCGCATCCCATAGAGTGAAATGACCATGTGCAGCGCATCCCCAGGTCTGCACTGCCATGTTAGGGTGGGTGATGGTGTCAGGACTATCGCACATTGAATTGGTTATAAACCTGATGGTGATTTGGTTGTTTGGAGGAATATTTTCAGAAGTCCAAGTAATCTTGCATTGGAAAGTGAATTAGAAAATGCAAATCCAGTGGCATGAGCTTTATGATACGATACCTTATCACAGTTGGGATACCCAGCAGTGAAGTGTAGTCAATGTCTCTTTGGAGCTCGGCCAGATGAGTTTTAGTTGATATTTAGGTAAGGACTCAAAACTCCTAAAGTGTTATATTCTTTGATTTGTTTTTCAACTTGCTTCTTAAAACTAGCAAGCAGTGCCAAGACAGTATTGTATTTCTATCTTTTATTTGTCATAACTGTCGGAGCAAATAGTTGGTAGAAAAGGATCAGAAAAAGCCTTCATCTCAAATCATTAATAACAAGAAAAGAAAGTATAGGAGCTCCCTTATCCAACATCACTTGATGGAATCATTCTTGACCCCTTGTCCTCCCCAGAAAAAGCACCAGATCATTCATGACCTTCTCTCCACTGTTTCATTGAGGACTATGAAGATTGTATCATAGGGTATAACGAAACAGTTATTTGCAATGATAGTGAAATAGTATAAGCATGTTTTTTAAAATTGGGGAACCTGGCCAGGGACAGTGGCTCATGCCTGTAATCTCAGCACTTTGTGAGGCCAAGGCAGGCGGATTGCTCGAGCTCGGGAGTTGGAGACCAGCCTGGGCAACATGGCGAAATCTGTCTCTCCAAAATATACAAAAATTAGCCAGGCATGGTGGCATGCACCTGTGGTCCCAGCTACTTGGGAGGCTGAGATGGGAGGATCGCTTGAGCCCCAGAGGCAGAGCTTGCAGTGAGCTGAGATCGTGCCACTGCACTCCAGCCTGGGTGACAGAGTGAGACCCTATTTGAAAAAACAAAACAAACAAAAAACAACAACAACAAAACTAACCCCAACTGTGGAACCCATAGAAAGAAAACTTAGCCTTGGCTTTAAATGAGGAGAACCAGAAAGTTCCAGGGAGAAAACGCATACCTTCAAGATGAAAACGATACCTTGTGGTCAGGGAAATTTAGGTGAAGGACAAGCAGGCTATAGATGTTCTAGTTTTGCTGGAAATAGTCACCTTTCCAACTGCCCACCTATAAACTTCCCAGAGTTGTTCAGTGTCTAGATCTCGAGCTCAGAGAAGCAGAGTGATTAAAATTCAATATGCATAACTCTCAATATTATTTTTTAAAAACATGCCTTTAAAACCACCCATTTCATCAAAAAGGTTAAAGGGAAAAACATTTCTCAAGATCTAAGCAAAGTCTTTAGGGCTGGCATAAACCGTGACAGTTTAAGAATGAAGTGTTTTTCTTATCAATATGAGCATTCTGTGAAATGGTTGATTTTGAGAGAGGTAGTTGCTGTTTTGACCTTTTCCCCATCTTGTTTTTTGTTCATAAATTGATGCTGTTATTGAAACAATACGGGTAAGAGTCTGTCTTAGATATGTAATTTTTTCCATCTATTGTCTCCAGGGTTTTACATTGTTTAACAGCTTTTAAAGACTTCAAAAGAATAGCACTAATATACCCAGGAGAAAAAGTCACATAAAGTTATAAGGTTCATTTCATTTTAACCTTGAATGCATTTAAACAAAGAAAATAACATCCAATGTCAAAATAATCTTAATTCCTTGACCACATTTTAAAAACAAAACAATTTATTACCATTTTGTTACTTCTTACAAGAAAACCCTTAGATACCAGTAGGTAACCATTAGATTTTTCTAGGTGAAAGTAAACCAATTCTGAGGAAGCGTTCTCTTTACCAAAGCAGCATTATTTCCAATAAGGAATCCACTCATTCATTTAGTCCTTGGTTTATTAAACAGTTACTGAGGCTGAGCACAGTGGCTCATGCTTGTAATCCCAGCACTTTGGGAGGCCAAGGCAGGCAGATTGCTTGAGCTCAGGAGTTCAAGACCAGCCTGGGCAATATGATGAAACCCCGTCCATACAAAAAATACAAAAATTAACCAGGCATGGTGGTACACGCCTGTAGTCCCAGCTACTCAGGAGGCGGAAGTGGGAGGATTGCTTGAGCCTGTGAGAAAGAGGTGAACCGAGGTTATGCCAC